CCCCCCAGCACCCAACTCTCCAGCAGGGTCACCTCCTTCTCCATCAAACTGGTTTGGGTGGTGTGTCCCCCCCACCAAAACCAGTTTGATTCTCACCCACCAGCACCACTTCAACAACCAAACCCAGTAAAGCTGGAGTAGAAACCGGTTTCCAACTGGAGAACATCACGCCCCAGTTCCCTCCTGATACTGGGATGGGTTGTCCCCTCCTTGGCTCGGTGTCTCCTACAGTCCCAGAAGGTCACGTTGAACCAAATCACGTTGCCAAAACTCTGTTTAAACATTAACTGGTGGAGATGATGGTGGAACCAGGACAAACCTTCAACGTTCAACCTTCATCCCACCTCCTTCCTTGGAAGATATCCCAGCTCCCGGCACGGATCACGGCACAGGCGGTGAAGATCAAGGGTTGACCACAACACCAGAGGTTTCCTCCTCATCTTCTACCCTTCAGCTCTTCCCAACGACGTGAGGGTGACGGTGAAGATCAAGGGTTGACCACAACACCAGAGGTTTCCTCTTCATCTTCTACCCTTCAGCTCTTCCCAACGACGTGAGGGTGACGGTGAAGATCAAGGGTTGACCACAACACCAGAGGTTTCCTCTTCATCTTCTACCCTTCAGCTCTTCCCAACGACCTGACGGTGACGGTGAAGTTGTGCCGGTAGTTGGAGCATCGAGAAGACACCAGTGAGGGCTCCTCAACCTGGTGGGTCTTATGGTACAACCAAGGAACTGGTTGTCCCCAACCATCAGGTCCTTATTTCTCCACCACCACCACATCATGACCCTGCCCTGGGCTTTGCTCCTTCTCGGTGAGATCCTGGCACAGGATGTGACCAACCAAAACTGTCTCATCCCACCATCTGGTGAGTCCCAACCTTTCACCATCCCTTAGGGTGACACCTGGTGAGACAACCTCACCAAGACACCACGGTGATGGGTTGATCCATCTCCTTGATAGCTCATAACGCGGCGCTGGGACGCCCGGCCAAGCAGTCCACCATCTTCCCCAACATCAGCATGGCGGCCAATGCGGTTGACGGCAACAGGGACGGGGTTTGGCACCACGGTTCTTGTGCCCGTACGTTGATGGAACGGGAACCGTGGTGGAGCGTGGACCTGGGTGGACGCCGGGCGGTGGCGGCCGTGGTGGTGAAGAACCGACAGGATTGTTGTTGGCAACGGTTACGAGGAGCCCAAGTCCACGTCGGGGACGCGCCGGCCGAGCGCGGGAAAGACAACCCCATGTGAGTCCAAACACCCAAGGGTTGGGTGGTGGCATCATCACCAGGTTGGTGCCACCATCTGCTGAGCTTCTCTTCCTCCATCTCCATAGTTGTAAACCAAGGGTTGGGTGGTGGCATCATCTGAGCTACATCTCTTCTTTCTTCCCGGTTGGGTGGGTGGTGGCATCATCACCATGTTGGTGCCACCATCTCCTGAGCTACATCTCCTCCTCCTTCCTGGTACTTGGAAACCAAGGGTTGGGTGGTGGCATCATCACCATCTCCTGAGCTACATCTCTTCTTCCCAGTTGGGTGGGTGGTGGCATCATCACCAGCACGTTGGTGCCACCATCTCCTGAGCTACATCTCTTCTTCCCAGTTGGGTGGGTGGTGGCATCATCACCAGCACGTTGGTGCCACCATCTCCTGAGCTTCTTGTCTTCCTCCATCTCCATAGTTGTAATCCAAGGGTTGGGTGGTTGCATCAGCACCATCTCCTGAGCTACATCTCTTCCTTCTTCTCAGTTGGGTGGGTGGTGGCATCACCACCACACTGGTGTCACCATCTCCTGGTGCCACCATCTCTTCCTTCTTCCTGGTACTTGAAAACCAAGGGTTGGGTGGTGGCATCACCACCAGGTTGGTTCCACCACCACCACGTTGGTGCCACCATCTCCTGACCTACATCTCTTCCTTCTTCCTGGTTGGGTGTTTGGTGACATCACCACCAGGTTGGTGCCACCATCTCCTGACCTACATCTCCTCCTCCCTCCCGGTAGCTGTGGCACCATCACGGACGCCGGTCCCGGTTCCCTCAGCACCATCTGCTGCCCTGGGCTGTTGGGTCGCTACGTCTCCATCCTCATCCCCGGTCGAGTGGACACGTTGGTGGTGTGTGAGGTGGAGGTGGTGTTGGATGGTTGCATCCCCCTTCCTGGAGGTGAGGAGCTGTGGTGGGTGGGGTGACAATGAGTTGACCAAGAAGTAACCAGCACTGGTGACTTTGGTGAACTCCAGCTCCCAACGTGGCCCGAGGTCGCGCCGTCGCTCAATCCTCAACGCTCAACGTCATCAGCGTGGCCGTCAACGCCGTGGATGGCAACGGTGACACCGACTGGGAACGTGGCTCCTGTTCCCACACAGAGAAGGAGTTGGAACCCTGGTGGCACGTAGACCTGGGTCACCGACACGCCGTCTACGCCGTCACCGTCACCAACCGTGGCGATTGCTGCTGGGAGAGTCTTCTTGGTGCTCAAGTTCATGTTGGTGACTCCTTGGCTGACCATGGCAAACGCAACCCAGTGTGAGTGGGGACCATGGTGAGGTGTCACCCCCACCTTGGTATGAGGTTCTACCACCGGTTGTAACCATTATGGTTCCTTCTTGGCAGTTGTGGGGTCATCTTGGACACCGGTCCTGGTTCCACCACCACCATCTGCTGCAACGGGTTGATGGGTCGTTACATCTCCATCATCATCCCCGGTCGGGAGGATTTCCTGGTCCTCTGCGAGGTGGAGGTGACATCACAGAGCTGTGTCCCCCCTCCTGGTGGTAAGAACCAAAAGATCTCCCCATGGTAGAGACCTGGTGGGTGCTGGATCATTCCCAGCAAGCTCTGACCTCCCTGAGCCATCCTGGAGAGCGTGGTGGTCCTGGGGTGGTGGACAGGGATGTCACACGTGTCCCATGGGACATCAGTTGTGCCGGGACGTGGTATGAGGGGTGAGGAAAGGCCAATCCACAGCTCTAGCTCCATCCCCCCGTGGTGTGATGTCCAACCATGATGGTGAGAACCCAACCTTGGTGTCACCATCTCATGATGTTGTCCCTCAGCTCAAAACTTGGCCCTACGGCGCCCGGTGGCACAATCTTCTTCGGTCAACCGGGTCGGTAACGCCATCAACGCCGTGGATGGGAACAGGGATGGGACCTGGAGACACGGCTCTTGTTCTCAAACCCAGAAGGAACTGGAACCATGGTGGATGGTGGATCTAGGCCGACGTCTCGCCGTGGCAGCCGTGGTGGTGAGGAACCGCTTGGATTGCTGCTGGCACCGCTTGAAAGGTGCCCAGGTCCACGTTGGAGATTCTCTCGCCGGTTACGGGACCAACAACCCCGTGTGAGTGTGGCTCCACCAACCCCACGGCACGCGGTTGCTCATCCTCATCATCCTCATCCTCATCATCTTCATCCCTGCAGATGTGGCACCATCACGGACACCGGTCCCGGTTCCACCAGCACCATCTGCTGCCGTGGGTTACGTGGTCGCTACGTCACCGTCACCATCCCCGGGCGGGAGGAACGGTTGAGTTTGTGTGAGGTGGAGGTGGTGGAGCAAGGTTGTGCCGTGTTACCAGGAGGTGAGTGAGCTCTGGGGACACCAGTGTCACCAGCAACACCGGGAAGGTCTTTAGGTGACGTGTCACCACCATCTTGATTGTCCCCACAGCTCAAAACGTGGCCGTGGGTCGCCCGGCCACTCAATCCTCCATCTTGGACACCAGTAGCGGTGCTGCCAACGCCGTAGATGGGAACAGGGATGGGAACTGGGAACACGGTTCCTGCAGCCACACCACGGAGGAGCTGGAACCCTGGTGGCGCGTGGATCTGGGCCACCAACACAAGGTCTACGCCGTGGTGGTGAAGAACCGTGACGATTGCTGCTGGGAGAGGTTGAAAGGCGCCGAGATCCACGTCGGTGATTCCTTGGTTGATCGTGGACGACGCAACCCGGTGTGAGCTCCAAGAGATGCCACCCATCAGCACACCAGGACCACGCTGGATCATCTCACTCATCTTTCTTCCTTCTTCTCCTGGTAGTTGTGGCATCATCACAGACACCAACCCTGGTTCACTCAACACCATCTGCTGCCACGGTCTTCGCGGTCGTTACGTCTCCATCTTCATCCCCAACCGGGAAGACGCCTTGGTGATGTGTGAGGTGGAGGTGATCCGCCAAGGTTGTGTCCCTCTACCTGGTGGTGAGTCACCACTAAAGCTCCTCAAAACCCTACTGGTGATACCACCA